CCATAGCTTATTTATCTCTTCTTCTCCTATGCTAGACATTCAGGTTGTTTCTCTTTACTCAGTAGTGTGCACAGCGCTAGGGGATGAATCCCACTGGATGCTGGGGTTGTTCAGATCTCCACCTAAAGTGGGTTTACTGGATCACTGAGCAGGAACATATGCTACAACTGTATTGCTCAGAATGAGCATATAAATTCCCACAGTTACCACTAGCTTTTGTGTCTCCTAATGCTTGATGACACTAGTTTTGTTGGATTTTTGGTGTATTTTTCTTGATAGATGACGATGATAAAATAGTCTATTGTTTCTGTGTTCCCAATCCAATCTATTGTTTCTTGGCAATATTGCTTTTCTTTCTGTCAAATATTAATTTTCTTGGTCCAGTTTTTTGGGTTGGAATGTCTTGTTTTGACTGTGTCACGCAGATTCTGATGTGTTCAGAAAGACAATCTTTCTATTCCTTTTATTTATGGAAAAAATCCCTCAGTTTGTTTTTCTTCTTTAAAATGGAGTTTATTCTTGTTCCATGCCTTTCCATATACATACTAGGTAGATTTTAACTCTTAACAAAAATCTTGCTGCCATCTAGATTGGGATTTTATTTAAGTGATAGTGTAATTTGGGAAAAATTGACATTTTTATCATATTTTGCCCAAACCATGAGCATATCTTTCTTTTTCTTAGGATTTGTTATGTTCTTTTAAAAAATTTATACATTTCTCAAGTGAGATCTTTATATTTAGTAGAGTTCTTTTCTAGAGACCTTTTGGAAATTGTGAATATGATCTTTCTTCATGGATATATTTTATTTTGTCTCTGTTGGAGAATGTGCTATTCATTTCCAGTGTAGATTTTTTTATCCAGTGATCTTGCTAAAACTCTTATTTCTAGTAGTTTGTGGATTTTCTTAGATGTCTATCAGTGATCTTCAGAATATAATTTTTGAATTAGCAGCATTAGCAGCATCTAATAAGCTATCAGAAATGAAAGTTCCAGGCCAACACTGGTCCCCAACTCTGAAACAGAAGATGTGATTAAATTGACAGTTTTGAGTTGAGGTGATTGTTCTGGATTATCCTTGTGAGACCAGTCTAATCACAAGTCCTTAAAAACAGAGAAGCTTTCCAGACGCTGCTGGTCACAGGCAGAGGGTCAAGCAGTTTGTCCCTTACAGACTCCAGGAAGGGCCACACCCCTTCTGACATTTTAAAGCAGGGATAGCAATGTTGGACTCTCAAACTACACAACTCATTTTAAGCTCTCTGTAATACCTTGTTATAACATCAATAGAAAATGAATGTAATTTTACCTGTGTTTACAGAGTTTGACAAATGTAGCTATGTAATTGCTACAATAATCCAGATGCAGATTTGCATTGTTCTAAACCATTGCTTTGTGTCACTTTACAGGCACTCTTGACCCTATCAGCCCCTGACAATTGCTGACCTGCTCTGTTGTCAGTTTATGCTTTTAATGGTTGAGTGTGGATGTATAACAGCATCTCCTGTTTGTTTATAATCACTTGACCATTTCCAATAATGGGCATCATGTGGAAAAGTAACTGGGATTTGGTGTTTATTTTGTGTTTGTGAGTTGACAGATCAAATGATATTGCCATTGAAAAGATAGCTTGTTCCATTTCTGAGAGAAGGGGTGCAGCATACAACTCAGGATCACAGGGAGCCCCAGGACCTGTCTGGGGGAAGATAAGGTGAAGGGAAAGTGTTGGCACAAGTCTGCTGCGATTTTAAAGACCAGGAGGAGCAGGCTAAGCAGCTAAGCAGATTAACATTGGATAGTTTCAGAAATCTTGGAAGGTTCTGGTTGTCTCAATGACCCTGCATTGATTTAGGCAGAAGGGTAGTGTCCCCAAGTTGAGGAGCCTGGTACAAAGGCCAGGATTTTTCCATCTGCCTAACAAGGAAAGTTGTTTGCTGTCTGAGAAATCAGCTGACCCTCTGTGGGGTAGGCCCTAGTTGGATCCACAAGACCCTAACCTGTCCAGCATCAAGAAGTATAGAAAATAATGGCCTATTTAACAGCAATACTCCTAACAAATACTATAATAATCTGCATCCAGGTGTTCTTTGGATGCACGTTTTTACTTCTCCGGAATAAATACTCAGGAACACAACCATAAATGTGTGTTTGATGTATAAGAAGGAGCAAACTGTTTCAAAGCTGCCGTACCATTCTTGCATCCCCACCAGCAGGAATGGGAGTCGAACGTGTTCCCCATCCGTGCTACTTCGTTTAAAACCAAAAACCAGAAACCTCGCTTGGTTTCAATAATTCAAGGAGTATAGTGATATATCATTGTGGTTTTAATTTGCATTTCCCTAATAACTCGTGTTAAACATTTTTTCATGAGTTTATTTTCCATTTATGTATCTTTTCAGTTAAGTGAAATACTTTACCTATTTTTAATTGGGTTGTCTTAATATTTTATTACAGTGAATTCTTGACATATTCCGTAGACAAGGCCTATATAAAATATTTTTTGCAGTTCATTTTTTTTATTAATGAATGCTGAAATTTAATTCAGTGCTTTTTCTTTGTCTTTTGAAAACAGTTCTCTCCCTTATTTTTGTTACTAAGGCTTGTTATATAAAACCATTTTGTGCTTTTCAACTGATTTTAAATTCATAGAATAAATGTTTTTTATTTTTTTGGAACTGGGCCTAAATCCCTGGCCCCCATAGAATAAATGTTAATTGTGATATTTTCATACTTTTATTGAACTTACTAATGTTCTGTCAAATTTTTACATTGTTTTTAAGAATGTTCATGTCTGAAAATGTCCAGTCACCACTCACGCATGATTTATTGTTTGATTGGAAATAAAATTCTAAGTTGTAAATCATTTCCTATTCATTTTGAAGGTAATTTTCCATTGTGCGCTGCCTTTTAAGAAGCCTATTGAGGAAGCTGGTGCCATTCTGATCCCTGTCATGTATGACCTAACCCCCATTCCTCTGTTCCTACTACTTATGCCTTCCAATCCCTGGATCATCACATTGATGGTTTTAATATCTGTCAATTTGTTAGGCAAAATCTGTTATCATTTGAAATTTTGGAAAAATTTCAACTTGGAGGCCAAGAGTCACCTTCTGAATTCCTTTCTACATAGGGAAGCTGGAAAAGCTACGAACGCTAATGTCTTCACCAAGTGGAGAAGTCCACACTAGTTAAATTAGATCCATTTGTCAAATAGATGGAATTCTACCTACATTCACTCCATTTATCAAATGAAACAGCTCTTGCTTACGTGTGACTTTGCTCCCCATTTGCATTTACTTTGTCCCAAAGAGAGAAGTAGATGCTTTGAGGTAAATGCCAGGAAAAAAAGTTTTAAACATTTCCATTTTAATGTGCCAAAATATAAATACTGTTTCAGCCAAATGACTGAGTGAAAGATTAGAAACTCTTATTGACAAAACTGATATGACTTTAAAAGAATCAAAATCAGTTTGGAATTATCTCATACATTAAAATATGTTCTGAAATTTAGAAAAGTATATTGAAGTGAAAGTCATGATGTGGATCATTTGTTTTACCAATTAATCTTAAATGGGATAAACATGTCAAGACACAAAAACGTGGATCTAATAAAGATTTGAGCCAGGGATGGTGGCCCACGCCTGTAATCCCAGTACTCGGGAGGCTGAGGCAGGAGGATCGCTGTGAGTTGGAGACCAGCCTGGGCTACATAGTGAGTTCCAGGTCAGTTTCAACTACAGAGTGAGACCCTGTCTCAAAAAACAAATTTTTTTTTTTTTTTTTTGCGCAGGGAGAATTACAAGTCCTAATGTCCAAATAAGCTAGAAATGCAAAGCACAGTTGCCTACGCAAGACTGCATGTGCTTGGCCCCCACCCCGCTGTATCCACGGTGTCCCCTTCTCACCCTGGCTCCATGCTCAGGATGACTTATAGCTTCCTCCCTGTCTACGTTCTGCTTGTTTATGGCCAGTAAGAAGCACTTGTGGATGAGATGGCAGGAAGTGGGAGAGGAACCAGCTCATTTTCTCCATATCACTACTGCCTGCTTCCAGTCAGCTGCAGTGGCACGCTGTCGTCGTCAACACTGCACCTGGCCTCGCCTACGTGGTCGTGACTCCAGATTCCAGTGATACCAATCCTTCCCCTCACTCCTCCTAGCCAAGGGTGTTAAAAGGTTTCTGGCTCCAGTAGACCTTTGTGTAGGTATTTTTGAGTATGCTAACTCTACTTCCTGGGAGTCTGACCAGTACAGCCTTAAGACCAGTGATGGCAAACCCTCTAGAGCTTTCAGTGATACAAATAGCCCTCTGTGGCATGCGTGCCACAGGCTTATCACGGCTGCTCTGGACCCACCTCCCATCATGTTCCGGTTTGAATCTTCTGCTGTAGCCATTAAGAACTACCTAAAGATGCTCCAAAGTGTCGAAGCTTTATGCTGCTTGTAATGGTTTGTATCTAGATGCCCTCCTAAAGCTTTCTGTGATCATAGGTGGGGCTTTTTGGAGGTGGCTGGATCTAGGGTGTGTGAATATGGATTAAGGGGGTGTGATAGCTAAATTGATTTAGAGTAGTTCTGTGTATGGATAGAGGAAGCTCTACCCTGGGTGTGGGTGGCACCAATCAATAGGTTTGCAGACTGGAAGGGATAAAAGAGAGGAAGGCTCACTGGCTGCTTCCCTGCTTTCTGCCTGCCCTGCTATGAACTTTCTCCTCTGCCATGCCCCTTTGCGATGCTGCCTGCCTTGCAGCCGCTTGAGGATGGATTGAAACCTCTACAAACTTTGAGCTAAAATAAACATCTCGTCTTTTAATTTGTGGGTGTTGGGTATTTGGTCTGAACAGAGAGGAAGACCTAAGACACTTTCTTCTTGCTTCTCTTAAATAGGCATCTTATCACTGGCGTTTGAAAACTTCCTTAAAAGTTCTTTTTTGCTGGAATTCTTCTTTGACCACGGAATGTCTTTAATGTCTAAGTCTATGCATAAATTTACTTTTCTAGATCCATGCTTTCGTTGGACCCAAGCTTCTTCAGAGAGGATGTTTTGCCTTGGTCACCTCCTGTCCAGTCGTGAGGAAGTGTCTGCTGCCACAGACCAATGAATGCAGAGATTCTAAGCACTGAAGTCAACTGGGAGAGAATCATAGTGAATGTAAGTCAAGAAGACGACAATGCTATGCAAGGTTAACATGAAAAATGTAATAGACATGGGCACCATTTCTGGGAGATAGAATGTACAGACAAAAAAATGAATTCAAAGGAAGGGGAAGTGAATCTTTTAGGAAGCTGGAGCCTGACAGAAGCCTTTAGGTCATTGGAGCTGTGTCCTTGAGGGGAGACAGTGGGAACCCAGCACCCTTTTTTCTCTCTTTTGCTTCCAGACCTTGAGGTAAGTGCATTTGCACAACTATGTACTCTGGCCACAGTGTAGTACTGTGGTTCCCAAGCAACAAGGACAGCTATTCATAGACTGAAGCTCAAAATCTATAAGCTTAAACAATCCTTTTCTCTTTATAAGTTGATTATCTCATATTTTTTATGGAAATGGAAAACTGGCAAATGCATCAAAGCATACAGGGGATGTAGTTTAGAATTTCCTATATGCTTTTACATTGCAATTTTCTCCTACTGTCTTTTGCTTGACAGGTGGTCATTGGCAGCATATACACTTCAAGGGTTCATTTTTATGACAGTTTATTATTTTTATAATGACTTCCAGCTCATTCAGGCTTTGCTTTATTGCACTGTTTCAGCCTTATGACAGAGAATGTTCCTGAAGCCTTTGATGTGTCCATCTTTTGATCTGTTCTGTGGAATGAACCATTTTCTCCATTCCGTCAGCCCTGTGTCTCTTTCCATTTGTAGTTACCTTTTTTGGGAAGGGGTTTTAGTGAACTCCTGAGGGATAGTCTTAGCGTTTGTTAATCCACTCAAGTTTAAGCTTTGGAGTTAGGTTTTTCTTATTAGAACACAGAAAATGCCTACCAAAGAAAGTATTATCATTATGAACAGTAGTTATAATTACCTAAATAAAAAAGAAGAGAAAATGTAAGGAAAGAAAATGTGATTCTGAAGAGGAATAAAAAAGAATCTGGAATATAATTTTACCTGCTAACCCTGGAAAGTGTGACACCTTGCAAAAGAGTTGTAAGAAGCATAGACCTTGGTGGGGAAATAGAAGCAGAGCTTTGGAACTGTGTGGATTCTTCCCCCCTCACAGCTGTCTTTGCATTCGAAGACATGTTCTCCTTTGGAATGTAGAACCATCTGCATTCTTGCTGAGGCAGTAACAATCTATACTGCACTTAGGCGTGTACATTCCAAAGGACACAAAGTACAGAAATTCTGTTATGATCATCCATGCTCTGGTGACCGAGATGAAACAAAGAGCACAAGAGATGAAAGTTTTAAAGAACAATGTTTTGATATTTGGATGTGGGTGTATAAATGGCTATGGCTACTTTCTATCCTTCCAAAACTTAAAACTAATGGAAAAGTTTGGAGTGGTAGATACTGGGTCAAATTTGAGAAGCAAGAAGCTGGGTCCTTTTAATAATTGCTGGTGGAACTAATAGGGAATAAGAGAGCAACTACAGTGGAAAACAAAATGTTTTTATTACATTTCCTCTACCCCCCCCCCAAGGGATTGAATCCAGTCTTTGCATGAAGTACATCCCCCAGTCCTTTAATTAATTAATCAATTTAAGAGAGAGCGTGGCAGGGTCCCTCCCATCGGGATATGGTGAGGGCCTTCTAACAGAGAAAGGTAACATGGCACTGTTAGTTCCTAGATTTGCATGTGTAGTTCTAGTATGGCTCTGTGACATAGATTGTACCCAATCAGGCTGTAGTAGTTTCAGTTACTTTTCTTTCATTTCTGAGACTAAATACCCAACGTGAAAATTTAGAGGGACGAGGTTTATTTAGCTCAAAGTTTGTAGAGCTGGATAATTGGCTGGATCTGAGGCAGGGTGGCACATGGCAGAGGAGAATAGCTCACTGTGGCTGAAGAAGCAAAAGCAAGCATTCAAGGGCGTTTAACGGCCTTTCTGCCCCTTTTATCTTATCCAGGCTACTTAGGGCAGGTGGCACTCACACTCTTAATCCTAGAGCCCTGGAACCTAGCATCGCACCATGAATCTGTCACAAATTGTAGATTCAGCCACCTCTGAAAAACCCCCACCTGTGACTTCATGAGGCTTTTGGGGGACATCCGGACACAAGCCATGACACCATTTAAGGGAGAAAGAAAAAACTGAATAAAGGGCAAATGTCCACCCCTGATTGGTGCTCAGGCTTTTGGGTCTTAGCCCCCTGAGTTCATGCCTGCAGGAATAAATTTGCTTCCTGGAAAGATAAGCCTCGGTGTCAGTGTGGCATCTCTCTGTGGGAGAATCCTGCTACAATAAGGTCTTGCAAAGTCACTAAGCTGCCCCCAGTGAGCTTGAACTTGAGCTCCTTCTCCCTCAGTCTCCTGGATCTGCACAGCCCTGCACACTCTGGTTTCCTCTTTATGCTTTTTAAAGTCTTTCCAGCCGGCATTCTGAACTCTATGATTTCCTGAGTCTGGCTGTTTGAATTGAGCAAACATTACCTCATAAACACTGACAGGACCAGCCTCATCTAGCAGAAAGGACTTTTTATGGGCTCTTATCCTGTGTTTCTTTTCAGAGCCTGGAGTTCTTAGACATCTTCTCTTGAATACTAAGTCACAGTGCTCATTGTTACTAGGAAGGTCATAATATAACTCTCGAACTTTAAGGAAGGTTCATTGATGTGAGGAAATAAGATGCCCAATTAAATGCATTCATCAGGACTTTCAGAAATGATGGAAATTAATATTGGAGTAGTTTTGTCTGCCATAAAATATATGCACTCATGTGTAGTGCCCCCTTCTTTCTACATAATATTTTACCTCAAGCTCTTTGGCCAATTTTTACGATAAGGCAGCATTGTAAAGAGTAGATTTCCTGTAGTTGATGGTGGAAGTGTGGAGAGACAATTTAGAGTGCAAGTGTCCAGCTTCTACACTGAGCATACCGCTGAGAAGCTCTAGAGGGAACCAGCTGTGCCATGTACCTGTGAGCTTGGTGTGTCGCCTCCTTCTGGTCATTTCAAGAAAAGCAGCTGGGCTCATGCATTCCTTCCACCTTCTAACCGCGGTGGGGTTGTCGTTTGGTTGCTTCATTCCGGCTTACCCCCTTTACCTTGGGAGCACCCCTCACCACCAATCTCAGCGCATGCAGTCTGAGCATTATTGATTTCAGCCTCAGTGCAGGGGCTGTGACTCCAGCCCGGCCCATCGGATATTTCATTCTCCCAAACACAGCAATTGGTCCTGAGGTGGGCAAGGGTCCCAGTGAACACCAACAAAATGGTATCTGGACTATTTAAAAACCTGCTCAAAAAAAGGGTGTCTTGTCTTTTTCTGCTGGGCTTCAGGTATGGGAATGGAAGCTTAGAGCTACTCACAGCCACACTGTCATCACGAGGGGCAGCAGACCCAGTGCGGAAGCAGCACATGGGAATCAGTGGCTTCGTAAATTCTCATAAGAGCTGAAACAACTTTTAGAATAAAACAGATGCTCACATGGGTCTGCCCATCTGGTTTGTAGTTTCTCATTCTCTGTGCCGCCATTGCCTTTATCAAGGGCTGACTCTCTCTACCGTGCCTCACGGATTCTGCTTATTCAGGGCTTTTCATTACTGGTCGCTCTCTCTCTCCCTCTCCCTCTCTCTCTCTCTCTCTCTCTCTCTCTCTCTCTCTCTCATCTCGGCTTCTGTATTATACTTTCTGGGTCCTGTTATTCATTTCTTCTATTCAGTATAAGTAAGTGAGTCTGATTGAGTTAGGTCTTCACTATCTGGTACAAAGTACTCCTAGTAGGAAAATATACATTTTTATAGTATGATATAATATAAATATATTTTAATACATAGAACACATACTTTGAAAATTGTTTATTGAGCACCGACACTAAGCTAGGCGTTGATCTATACCCATTGAACCATGTGGACTCAATTAATTCTCAGCAAAACACCTATCAGGTAAGAACTACTTACTGTCTTCATTTCACAGGTGAGGAAATTATAATTGTAAATAATCAAGGTCACACCAGTGCGGGGCCTAGGAGCAGTGTTCAGATCTGGTTCTAAACTCTACATCGTTAATGTGCTAATTTGTTAATAACTAAATGTGTTAATTTTCTCTACAGTGGCCCTGGGTGACTTGGCCACGCCGTGTCACAGGCTGCTGGTTTCCTTCGTGGTCTAATTATGCAAAGGCTCCCTGTTGAGGTCTTTTGAGGTCCGTCTTCCAGACAGCCCTTTGCCCAGTGGGTCACAGTGGTAAACATGAGAGGGACACTCTCTTTGTTCTTCAGAGGGGTCCGTTGGTCAGGCATCTCCCTCAGAATTCATCAGAAAAATCTATAATTCTTTGTCATTTTTTTTTTCATTGAACAGAAGTATTGGTTAAAGAACTATAGCTCTATGCTGGATTCAAAGGATAGTGCTTGTTTCTCCTGAGCCCTTCCCCTGCCCTACTACAGCCAGCCCACTCTTATTCCTCTTATATTTCTTCCACATACGTGCGTCATAGCACTTCTTAAAGTGTTTATTTACGTGCATTGAATTCTGTGTTTATTTTTCCAGTGTTTACCTTCTCCATTTCCTTACAGTCTGGGGATGTAACTGGTTTCATCACTACTGGGTCGTTAGCAGGGCCTGGCTGTGATGGGTTATTTGTCTTAGTTACTTTTCTCATTGTGGGGACAAAATATCTGACACCTACAAGTTAAAGAAGGAAAGGATTCATTCTGGCTCACAGTCTGTACAGGTTTCAGTACACAGTCTCCTGGCTCCCAGGCCCCGCAGCATGGCAGAAGGTATTGCAGAGGAGAAACAGTCCATGGTGTGATAGGCAGGAAGTACCAGCCTTCCTTCTGCTTTCCCCTTTTATTCCACCAGGCTACAAGCTCATTGTCTGGTCCACTTACCCGGAGTGGGTCTTTGGTCTTCAGTAAATCCATCCTGTCAAACTAGAACTGTGTTGCCAACTACGAAAATGATCCCTGAAAGTATGGTCTTTCTAGAACTGTGCTGAACCACTGGACCAGTCCAGTATCACACACCCATGATCCAGTCACTCCC